CTTGTAGAACTACCCGATGGGGTACGACCCATTGGATGTAAGTGGATCTATAAGAGAAAGAGAGGATTGGATGGGAAGGTGCAAACCTTTAAAGCTAGGCTTGTTGCGAAAGGTTATACCCAGATCGAGGGTATTGATTATGATGAGACCTTTTCGCCAGTAGCTATGCTTAAGTCCATTCGGATTCTCTTGGCTGTAGCCGCTCATATGGACTATGAGGTCTGGCAGATGGATGTCAAGACAGCTTTCCTTAATGGGAACCTGCAAGAAGACATCTATATGCAGCAACCAGAGGGATTCATTGCTGAAGGTCGTGAGCATCTAGTGTGTAAGCTTAATCGGTCTATTTATGGACTGAAGCAAGCTTCGAGATCTTGGAACATCCGTTTTGATGAGGTGATCCAGTCGTACGGGTTCACTCAATGTCCGGATGAGCACTGTGTTTACAAGAAAATCAGTGGGAGCGTGGTGGTGTTTCTTGTGCTTTACGTAGATGACATACTGCTTATTGGAAACAGTAAGAAGGAGTTATCAGACGTAAAGGTGTGGTTGTCTAAGCAGTTTGATATGAAGGACTTAGGTGAAGCAGGACACATTCTTGGTATTAGGCTCATTAGAGATCGTAAGAAGAGAATGTTGTGCTTATCCCAGTCTTCATACATAGATACTGTCTTGGCCAGATTCAGCATGCAGGATTCCAAGAAAGGTATGTTACCTTTCAGACATGGAATACCTCTATCTAAGGAGATGTCTCCTAAGACGTCTAAGGAGATAGAGGAGATGAAGACAGTTCCTTATGCTTCGGCAGTAGGAAGTCTCATGTATGCAATGCTATGCACAAGGCCGGATATTAGCTACGCCGTTGGCATGGTAGCTAGATATCAAAGTAATCCAGGACGGGAACATTGGTCTGCGGTGAAGCATATACTCAAGTACCTGAGAAGGACTAAGGAGTACATGTTAGTTTACCGTGCAGGCAGCTTGTTACCTCTGGGTTACAGTGATTCCGATTTCCAGTCAGATAAGGATGAAAGTAAGTCAACCTCAGGTTATGTGTTTACCTTGGGAAGTGGAGCCATTTCATGGAGGAGTGCTAAGCAGAAATGCGTGGCAGACTCCACCATGGAAGCCGAGTACATAGCAGCCTCAGAGGCAGCGAAAGAGGCAGTTTGGCTCAGGAACTTCTTAGTGGACTTAGAGGTTATACCGAGTTTGCCACGTGGTATCACCGTGTACTGTGATAACAGTGGAGCAGTAGCGAACTCAAAAGAACCTCGAGCCCACAGGGCAAGCAAACACATAGAGCGCAAATACCATCTGATTCGGGATATCGTTGGTAGAGGAGACGTTGATGTTGCCAAGATTGCATCAGAGGATGCATGGCAATAGGATCGACATAGGTCTTTTAGAATAACGGATTGATAGGACTATACTGTAAAAGCGAAAGCTTTAAGTATAAGTGGGAGATTGTTAGTGTTATATACTGAAAGCTTGGCTTTGCATGTTATTACACATTTACCCTTTATGAATGAGAATCATGTTAGATTAAACAAGTTCTACGTTCTGTTGTTCTGCACTTAGATAGGGTGGGTCGTCATCGGGCGAACCGAAGATCACTCTATCAGTCACTTGCGAACAAGAATAGTTGTTCACAACCTAGATGGACATGAACACCCCATCCGAACGGTTGTAGTGTCAACTGTACAGTTTGTCTTGACTGATTAGTTGCACTAGTACATTTATGTATTGAACAGGATCCCAGAGAGGAGAAGTTCATTTTATACTGATCGTCGTAAATGAACTAGGCCTCGGTTAATTACTGCGTTCTCTTAACCCGTAAGATATTAAACAGGCAGATATATATAATATATATTACTTTGATTCACATGGGTGAGGTTCAGTTCGCTGGATTAATATTCCTACTGTTTTGGGTAATATTATTATATATAGGATGTGCTGTTAGGATATTTACGGTCACCATGTGCGTTAGTTTGATGATGTCCCCGGAGTGAGTTCATGAAGGATTGTTATGCTAAACCCTGCAGGTGGATTAAATTCCGGCATAATAAGAATGTGATGAACGAGCGCTAGCTTCGGTGAAATAATAATAAATTAATTAATTCTTGATTGTCAGTAATCGAATTAATTAATGGACATTATATCTTAAACGTGGGGAGGTAAATCGAGTAATTATTATTGGAGTCTCAAATGTAATTTGGGCTAGGGAAAGGGAGTGCAATAATATAATGTTGGTGGCCCATTAATATTATTTAATTAATTAGAGGAGTGGGTTTGGCCCACAGTTAGTCTAATTAATTAAGGAGCCCTTTTCCTAATCTCCTTAGGGTCCCTACTGTAGCTCTATATATACATCATTAAGCTCATGAGAAGAGAATAGAATTCATTCTCACGTGAAACACGCCTCTCTCTCTAGATCTCATTCGAGCTTTATCTTCTTCTTGTTGCTCCACTGGTACAAGTTGAAGAAGGGTGTATTGAGTAATACAGTAGAAGATCTGTAGGTAAACCGAGACGAAATTGATTTTGACCTACAGAACTAACCGGAAGTCCGATTGAGACGTACAGTATACCCAGACGACCGTCTCGACGAGAGCTTTCCATCGCCGCCGACGTCGCCGGAATCCGACGCCGCACGCGCCCTCACGCGCCGCCGGAAGGTGTCTGGCAGCAAAATTTCGTTTTGATCTGTTTGCATCCGTTTGATCCAGTTTTGATCTGATCTTGTTCGTGCAACCCAAGACGCGTGTTGCGGTCAATCAATTGCGGTCAACCGTTCGTGGTCAACCAGATCTACATAAATTTTAAGCCGTAAGTTCTCTACGTCAAACCTTTAGATCCGCTGCGCATAGGTTTACGTTTGCTATTGAATTCGTGATTTGTACATAACGAGATCCTCACAGATCCCAACATACAGGTCTCAACCTAGTACTTTTCTAGGATACAGCACCTCTCACAAAGGATACAAAATCCTCATTCCCAACCAAAAGATCATCATTTCTAGACATGTTGTCTTTGATGAATCTGTTTTTCCATTTTCAAAGCAACCAAATATTCTTGAACCTTCATTACCAACTACACTTAGTCCAACTGTTTTACCCTTAATTAACTCCACCATCCCACGAACAAATACCGTCATGCATAACAACAACCCTTCACCATCCCCAACTCCATCTCTCATTCACAACACACCACCTTCATCAACCACCTCCTCTTCATCATCCTCTCACTCAAACACATCCTCACCTTCTCCCATCCAAATTCAGAATGGAAGATTGATTATTGATTTACCATTTGTTAATGCTCATACTAACCCACATGTCCAGGATCAAAATCAGCCAACACACCACATGACTACCAGGTCTAAGGTTGGCACATTTAAAAGAAAAGTTTTCATGGCTGTGACATCACCTGAACCTTCATCTTACAAGCAAGCTCTAGAACTTCCTCAATGGAAATCAGCAATGGACAAAGAAATCCAAGCTCTTCATTTGAATCATACTTGGGATCTTGCTGTTTTACCAAAGGATGTCAAACCCATAGGGTGTAAATGGGTCTTCAAACTTAAGACTAATAGTGATGGTTCTATACCAAACACAAAGCTCGGCTTGTTGCCAAAGGCTTCTCTCAAGAACTTGGGATTGACTGCAATGACACCTTTAATCCAGTCATCAAACCAGCAACCATTAGAGTTCTTCTATGCCTTGCAACTTCCAATTCATGGCCTATCAGACAATTAGACATTGATAATGCATTTCTTTATAGGGATATTGACAAAGAAATTTACATGGAGCAGCCTCAAGGTTATGTAAAACAATCCCTTTCAGGTGTTAAACTTTTTTGCAAACTCAACAAATCCCTTTATAGGCTGAAACAAGCATCAAGAGTTTGGAATTCCAAGTTAGCCTCTACACTGACTTCTCTCTTAGTTACACTCAGTCAAAGCTGACTCATCCTTATTTTACATGCATAAAAACTCTACAAGTACATTCATACTCCTCTATGTTGATGATATCCTCATTACAGGATCATCTCCTTAAGAGATTCAAAATACAGTGCAATCTTTACACCTCCACTTCTCTTTGAAACAGTGACATGTCACCCTGCATGGACATGTCACAACGCAAGACAAAAAATCACTCCATGAAGAATGAATTAGAGACGGGACCACAATAGATATTTCTTTTGCTTTTTGATCTTTTCTTGTTTGTTAGCCATTACCTATCATTTGTTGCCATGTGTCCTAGTTCTAGTAGTTTCACCTTACCCTAGGATTATTTAAAGCTTTCTACCCCTTCACAAGATGGCCGCCGCATTATTTACTGCATGTTCTAATGATAAGAAATCAGATCTGAGAATTATCATTGAATAAAGAGAAAATATTCTATCATGACTTCATGGTTGTTCGATTTTTATCAGAAAAAAATAAGATTATAATCTATTTTTCATCTCTTTTGCAGAGATCCATATATATGTGTTGTCTAAGTACATATCGTGGCGAGAACAGTTCGTAGCTAATTTAGTGTACAAAATAAATTAGATAGATGGAGTGTAGCCTTATAATTTCTATATCTATCTAGACGTATAATTTTAATTTCTACTTGTTAGCTAAACACATATTTAATNAGTAAAACCGCTCCCTAAAATTTTTTTCTGGTGTAAGTACAAATTTAATGGTCCCCTTAAATTTCAATTGAAAAGTTAATTCTGGATGAAACAAAATCTATTATCCTTCACATAACATCAAAAGCAATGTATGTACCTATAATTATACACAGGGTATATATTATTTTATATTTACAAATTATAGTGAAAAATGTGTATCAAAAAACTAACGTACAAGCAAAAATAACAACAATAGCAACTAAAAACTGCACACGTTTTGTTGCCTCGTGTTAAAGAAAAATAAAAATAAAAATCAAACGTAATAAAAAAAAGACACTCATCACTCATCACTCATCAGGATCCCGATAGCTATCTGTATGCAGCTCCAATTTCCAAATTCCAACTCTTGGTGGGTCCCACCCACCCACCTATCAACCCCTAAAATTTCGGTCTACTTCAACTTTCAGCCCACGCCAGGTCAAAAAGTCAGCAACGTCCAACCGACCATTTTAAACCGGGGACCTCGCGTCCGCTTCAGCCGCAAACAGGCCAGCCTCGTCGGCCGCCTTTGGCTCCAGGCACCTGAAGGACGGCATCTTCACCGGCGCCCGGTTTCCTCCTCCGCCGCTACTTCCCTCGCCGGATTCCGCCACCACCTTGGGCAACTTCATCGACATCCCCCTCGAGAAGAACAGCCACCGGTCGGACTTTCCTTCCCGCTCGATCCTCCTGTACGATCTCCCTCCACGTGGCAGGCCGGGAACCGCGCAGCTCCCGGTCCGGTTCAGACCGGCCCGGTCCATCACCTCCCTCCTCACCTCCTCCGGCAGCCTCAGTGTGAACCGCTCAAGATTCTCCCCCGGCTGGACCACCGCCGCCGGCAACGAGTGTCCCGTCGAATGCGACCGGAACTTCCCAAAACCAAATACCGATTTTGCCCTTGCGATGCTCGAGCTCCGGCCGGGCCGGTCGGGCTCGTCGTCCACCTGGACGACGATTTGATCCGGGTCAGTTGGGGTTTCGCCGGCTCTGGGGCGAGATTTGCGCGGCAGACGGGGCAGGTGACGTGGGAGTTGAGCCAGGCGTCGATACATTCCGGGTGAAAGACGTGGTCGCATTTGGGGATGAGGCGGAGGTTTTCCTCCGGCTGAAACTCGTTGAGGCAGACGGCGCACTCGAGGGCGTCCTTGCCGGCCTTGTGGTGGCGGACCTCGGCGTAGGTGAAGGTGGGGAAGGTCTCGAGGACGGAGGGGTCGAGGCCGCGGGCGGCGGCGGCGCGGCGGGAGAGGGCGCGGCGGATGCTGCCGGCGGGGCCGCCGGAGGATGAGCTGTCGGAGCAGTGGCGGACGTAGATGGAGAAGAAGCCCATGAAGAAGAGGGCGGCGATGAGGACCACGATGATTATGGCCATCGACGGGCTGAAGCGCGCATACTGGTACTGTTCGTTGTTGTTCGGGCCGGGCTGGGCCGCGGCGAGGGCCAGCAGCAGGGAGAGCAGGGCCGGGAGGAGGGTGGTCCGGACCGTCCGGTTCATTATGTCGGGTCTGTTGATCGCCGGAGTTAAAAGGGAGAAAATCAGAAAAATGAAATTAGCTAAAGATTTGTTGTAACTTGTCTTTGGAGTGCAATATGTGTAATTTAGCTTTGGCGGCGGCGTATAAAACGGAGGTGGGTAAGTATTAGAGAGAGAGGGAGAGAGAGGGAGAGAGGGGGCGGTAGATGTGATTTCCAAGGAGAATAAGTTGACTTTTTTGGGTTCGTTTAAGAACTTTCCATTCCAGTTTATTCCCATGCAAAATAATTGTAAAATAAGAAAATACTGCAATCCCGAAATCGTTAGATGCACATATGCATCTAATCTACATGTCATCTAACAGTTATAAATCCCAACGTAATAGTTCCGTAACGGAATTGTAGCCTTACCCAGTAAAATATCACAATTTGGAGGATACAGATAATTTTATTAACAATATTTGAGATTTTAAATAATGTTTATTAATAATTACATTTTGAGTGTAACAAATAAATTGCAGATAAACTATCTACTAACTAATTCTAAAAGACAACACAAAAATTCAGTGAATCATATATATGGACAAAATGTTCTTAATTTTGCATTTTGTGCTATTACAAAAATTATTGACCAAATTTATCATTGCTCTAAATTATGGGCACAATATCAAANAAGAGGATGCTTGGATACAAGTTATTTTAAAAAAATCATAACATTTTTAATCAATTATTTTTTTATTTGAAATATAACTCAATCTTACTATTCTCAATATTATCAATATAATTAAATAATATATATCAATCATTTTTAACATTATATCAAGTTTAATTTACTATTCATCTATTCACATAGTTTTAACTAACTATCACTTCACACCATCTTCTTCTACTTAATTTTACATTAAATTAACTTCAATTATTTTATTTTTAATATTATTTTAATATAAACTCAAATTTCACAAAAATATAAATCATATTTTTTTTTTAAATTAATAGTATCAAATCAAAAAATCAAACAAAATCAAAACTTTTATATCCAGCATCCCCTATTTATATCTGTTCACGTTTTGACGAATTCGTTAGGGTTAGGCGGGGCCGACCTCTTTTGTCAGCGATGAGGTAAGAATTAAAGCGAAATATAATAATGTTGAAAAAATGTGCAAGAGCGATCGCGTGCAGTGCCTGCGCAGCCACGTGGCTTGTTAATGTGGCGCAATTTGCTAATAACATTTTTTTAATAAAAAACATAAGGCCATAAGTGGCACTTGTATTTGGCAAATTTTGAACTGTTACGCGTTCATATTATTGACCAGAAATGGTGGAAAATTAAAATTTCTTGTATGATTTGTGGAGTCATTCTATTCTAGAATGCAACAAACAGTGTCTGAAAATTTTTGCGCTGCCCTTATTTGGATCCGTTCAAATTTCCAACTGCAAAGATAGCAGACCGGTGTTTGACGAGAAGCAAAGGTGGACTTTCAGCATCGTTAGGTGACCTCAATTTGGAAATTGAACTATGTAAATAATTTGTTTAAACAAGAATGGCACTTTTGTGATTTATTTGTGTTTGAATACGATACAAATGTAAACTACATGATGTAATTATATCATGATTCAAAATTTGAAAGTATTTTTTATTATATGTATTTTCTGTCGATCGAGTTTAATCAATCAATGATATTGACGTGGAGGTATCAAAGACAAAGTCACATCGACAAACACTCTCATGAAGTCATTACTCACATAGACCATATATACTTGACGTGGAGATATCAAAGGCAAAGTCACATTGACAAACACCCTCATGAAGTCATTACTCACATAGACCATATATACCGGTACATTGCATTTTAAGGTCATCAGTGTCGATCTTAAATTAAAAACAATTATTCATTCAAATTTCATTTCAGGCTGAATCTCAATCCAACTCAAGCATCTTTCATATAATATCACAACCTTTCGTTTGAATTTAATATTTTCACATCGGCAACGACCACAACATACAACGTTCTTCGTATCGATCTCACCACCCAGTGTGAAAAAGGTTCACCTCCCAGGGCCATTTTACATCATCCAGAACCGGTTAACACTGCCCAGTATAAACAGGCCCACTGACCATAAAATCGGTCCTAGATAAGTGTCCTGTTACGTGACGCCTTGCATGGAGCAGACGCCCTAAATGCGCGCCACGCGTCCGATGATTCAGCAATAAGTCATGATGAATTTTCACTTTTATCGTTTATAAATAACTGTACAGCTTGTACATCAAAGATAGAACAAAATCTAGAGGGAAAACCCAAATAAAAAATAAAAGAAGGATCCCATTAAAGGGAATTAAAAAAATTGTTTAGTAGCAAGAAAATAAAAGTGAAAGCGTATTAACGAAAGCACACAATTCTTCGACTATCGCGTCTTTATGCTTCATCCTTTTTTATTTCTCGCACTTTATCACTTTTGTAATTCAGTTTATTAAATCTCAAGTTTAATTCGAGCTCCACATCCACTCACGGCTCGTTTACAATCGGATTAATCATTACAAAGTTACCATTTCAATTTAATTAGTATATTCAATTGTTGATATTAGCTTTTGAAGTGTTAGCCTGATCAGCAAGAGTTTTAGGCTATGTTTGGTAAAGCTTATAACTTGTAATCTATGACTTATAGTTGAAAATCTAGCTTATATGATGAAAGTATTTAGTAAAATTAGTTGACGATAAGCGAATTGAAATAAAAAATTCAACTACCTTTTTTGAAAAGCTACCTAAAAAAGCTTATGAGATAAGTTCGAGCTTTGCAAAAAAGCTAGTCCTACCAAACGAGGCTTATTTGAATACAAGAAGCTTATAAGCTAACTAAATAAGTTATAAGCTAGCTTATTTGACTACCAAACATAGCCTTAGCCTATGAGTGGCGAACTGGGTTTAATAAATAATAGCCCGGTCCACTATACTTAGTCTTGGATTCGTAGCCCAGCTCTCATGACCGCGGCTCAAGTAACAATCATACACCATACTTTTTTTCTATGGCAACTAATATTAATAAAACTCAAAAAGAGTGCGGTCGGTGACCTCTAGTTACTAGAATATTAATACCTACAAAATATTTAAAAAATATTCCTAAATAATATTCAAGTAAGTTGAAGTATATCTACACAACTATTAAGAAGGATCAGAATCCTTATATATTAAAGAAACTCCTTGTCTTGAGGAGTAAGTCATTAAGCTCATTATAAATAAAGGTTTTCTACCCTAAGCTCTTAAGATTATTCTCAATTACTGTACACGATCAAAGTATCGGTTTTCTAACTTGAGCGTCGAAGTATCTACGTCGAGGCCCGCCCCGACACTTTGCAGGTCGATTCAGTTCTTGAAGACGAAGGTAAACGGGACAAGGTGGTTCGACCGACAATCTTGGTGAGTTGATTCTTTTGACGTATCAGGCGCTCATAAAAAGGAGATTAAAGCAAGACGGGTTGCGCGGGCCTTTGGGCTTTCCTTTCCAAAATATGGGCAAAAACAGACGTGGGCCCAATTTTCTTCGAGACTGATGTAGCTGTTTATTTAATAGCCGACCTTAGGGCTGTTTAATATAAATATAGTATTAAGTAAATCTAAGACAAAATTATATATATAATTATTTATTATAGCTATTAAAAAACAATTTCAATTATGAATGTTAAAATAAAATTAGAAAATATTTTTAATTACTTTTATTTTTGTGATGCGTTATTATCAATAGGTATTCTTTTAGCTTGTTTTTAATATTATATTATAAAATTAAAAAAAAAATGTAGTTTTATTCATGAGATATTTATATTTAACATAATTTAATATATTTTTAGTTAAATAGTTATAAAATTACAAAAAAAAAAATTGAAAATACGAATATTCGATGATACATTTCAACAATTGTACAATGCTTCAAAAGGATTTTTTTTTTTTTCTGCAGAATTATTCTTTCTAACAATACCCAGGGTTCAGAATGCTGATTTTCTCTCGTGCCATTTGTGCCGCAAAAAACTTCACGACTAAGATAATTATTCATGACATAATTATAGTTAACATTTTTTAAAATATAAAAAATAAGATAAATTTAAAATTATAAATAGAGCTGAGATAAAAATATACTTATTGAAATAGATGGGTAATAAAAATATCTGAATATTAACTTACAACTAGTACAGAGCCCGTGCGATGCACGGGGTGCACAATTTTAAGGCTATTTATCCATGCTTATAATTATATACATGAATAAAGAAAAATGTACGGGATATATATAGTACGTGACCCGTGCGAAGCACGGGATATATTTATTTGGAGAATATTATATTATAAGATGCAATATTCAATAAAAGTTTATAATACGCAAGAAAATTGTACAATGTTCAATAAATGTTTTATAATATTCAAGTGGAGTCATAAAGTCTCTTGTACATTAAGACTACTGACAAAATAATATTTTAATCAATGAGTTTCCTTTCCTTGTAGCCAAATTGTGAATGTGATTTGAGGAGTACAACAAATCGATATATAGCTGACTTGTTTTTTTCATTGTAGTGTTTTTTTCTTTCTTTTTTTATAATGAATTTAAAGATATTCTAAAATATAGTAAAAATTAATTTTTTTATTACGATTAGGAATTTTACAAAATATAGACTCTCAATCTATGGTGTTAATCAACGTTTAAGTCTAAAAAACTAGGAATTTTTACCTCTTTTAATCAACGTTTAAGTCTAAAAAATAATAGAGTTATTATAAGTTTTTTTCTACATCTTTTAAAACATTAAATATGAGCATGTTAGGGCTAGCTTGTAAAATAATTAATATATTATCTCACTAAAATATTTATACTAATAAAAATTTAATTTTAGCATATAAATTTATCCCTTGATATAAGAGAAAATAACAGTTTTATTTATTGTTGTTCACCATATAATATTTAATTATTATTTTATTATATAATAAAAAAGAAATATTGTTAAATAGTGTAGTAGAATTGTTATAAAATTATATGATTTTTTTTTTACAATATGGATTTAATATTTTTTTATGATTTGATAATATAAACAAATCTATACTTAACTTTGACAAATAAAACAAATAAATACTTTAGTAAGTATTTAATGTATAGACTAAATAGGAATATATTTGGTATAATCAAATACCAAATATAATCAAATAAGTCAAAGTGTACATTTTTATTTGGTATTTGATTTTTTTATTATTAAAATCTTTTTATTATACTTACCTTTTTAAAATAAAATAAATAAATAAATTAATTAAATAAATAAAATATTATAATACCAAAATAGTAATGACATTTAATGCAGTTGACTTTTCTGGATAATAAATGTAGTAAATAGAATCTCCTTTTATATAAGTATAGATATGATATTATATTATGTTGCTCAAAATAGTAATGCATTTATGGCATTGACTTTTCAACTTACTAAATTTCGTAAATGATACACCTTATTATATAAGTATAGATATTGGTAGTTAGAATTGTGTGAATTGATGAATATTGGTTTGTATTGAAGAGTATATAGCAATGATTATTTTTAATTTTTTAATTTTGTTAGTGATATTTATAAAGAAAAATGTGAGAAGAGATGAATACTAAATGTTATTTCATTTTAATAAATCTTTACTAGATAAATAAAAATAAAAAATTATTGTATCCAATCGTCCTAAAACCCAAAACCTCCAACAGATCCCTACCTTACCTCTTTTTTCTCTACAGTCTACACTTCACCTACGGCCATGACCTCATTCGCCGCCAGATCGATCCTACGCTCCGCCTCAACATCCGCCCGAGGCGCCGCCACCAGAATCTCCGCCGGTGCCAAGCCCAGGGCTTCTCCTTCCCCTTTCCGCGTCTCGACTCAGAAACCCCTTTCCGCTCGCATTTTCAGGTATTTTTTTCTCGATCGAAAATTGATTTTCTCCCCATTGAAGCTTTCTGCGTTTCGATTTTGATGAATTTGGCGCTCGATGTGCGAGCTTGGACTTAGGTCGCCTGTTGAGATGAGCAGCGTTAGCGTGGCGTCTATGCTGCCGTACCATACCGCAACCGCCTCTGCGGTTCTTACTTCCATGCTCTCTGTTGCTCCACGCAGCCACGCTTGGACTCTTGAAGGTAATTGTTTTATTTTCTTGATATTAGCAATAGTTGTGTATGGAGAATTCAATTCATTTATTCTCTGAGTGCCTATTATAAGCATCTGGATGTAGATGGGATATCTATGCTATTGCTGTCTTTACTTTGGCTTGTTTTTTATTTGATCATCACATATTCAGCATACTTAACTGTGTACATATGATTGTTGATGCGTGCATTGTTTTTTTCCCTATCATTTTTGTTTTACCATTTTAACAATTCAGAGTACATGCCCAATCGTTCCATTAGTTCTTACATGTTTCCTAATTACAGGCACGTAACTTGTATATGAGAAATTATCCTTATGATAGATCCTGTTCAAGAAGATATCAATGTTAGTTCTTTGACATTTAACCCTTCACGCAAATGTCTTTTTCCCCCCTTTTATATGCATCTTTAATTCGTGTTACGTCTCAAAGTTCCGAAAGTAAAAGGAGTGCATTTTTTTTTCATCTTGTAGGGCAAAAAAAGACTAGGTGAAGGTCGTGAAATGGAGGTGACACCTATTGACCAGTTTTGTATATTCACCCATTTTCTCGATTGAGTCATCAGAAAACTGTGATTTTTCTTTTCTTGTTTTGTGAGATAGGTGCGTGGAACATTGACGAAATAGCTGTTAATAAGTCAGTTGGTCATTTTGTTTGGTAGCAATTTTGTTGCTAATAGCTTTATTTGGTGTCCCTGGAAATGTGGAGCTTGATCAACCAGTGATTGGTTTTTTATCCTGTGCCTTCCTGTTAATTCCTCTAGAGAACTCTTACCTTGTTAGTGCTTCTAATATTGTTAAACATAGACTTATTTTCTACCCAGATTATATGATATGTGATGTTCAGTACCCCTGATAGGAGGTAACCCTAAAACACATTTCAAACCTGCCCAGTTCTTCTTGTTTCTTCCTATTCCTCTTACTGAAGAGACAATAATATATCTCTTGAACTGATTCACATTTCACACTAATCCAGGTGCATCATCTTATATAAATCCAGGTGAAAAACATCTTTTTCATAATCAAATTCAACGGGGACACAAGATTTTAGCCATTCTCGACCAAGAATGTTTCCCTTATTCTTAAGCTCTTTAGTGTGTAAATGAAATGTTACCCTTCACATTTACCATAGCCTTCATGATGGTAATGTTATCTTCTCTAGCTAATAGCATTAGAAGACATTTGAAATTCTTCCATTCACACTTCCCGTTTGGTTCCTCTCTGTTCCGTGTGTAATAGGTCAAGTCATATCCCTCTGTCATTATCATGTAGGTTATCCTTATCCTGCTCCTGCACCTAGCTATTTGCAATCAGTTCTTGTAATTTTGGTTCAGTAGCTTACTCTATTTGCAGGGATTTGATCCGTTTTCTTTTGGGTTTGTAGGTCTTTGAACCGCGTGATTTTGCCATATTCGAAGGAACCGCTGATCTGGATACCAGTTATGATTTAGAATTTTTTGTAACTTGTTTTCGAAATATTTTTTGGTACATTTGTTCTCCTGTAATTTTTGAACTTGCTCCGAAGGCTATGAAGAAATGAGGGATGATCAAAGAAAAAAAGAGGTGAATTTGAAAAATTGCTTCTGAGCACCATTCCCATTCCTCGTTCCCTTTTATGTGTGCCATAAACACCAATTTTGGAGAAACTCGACCAGATAAAAAGAAAACACATGAACGAACTCGATAAACTCAATAAAATTCCTTTCCATTTTCTGGAACAGTCAGATGAGATCTGCTATTTGGCATGTTGCACAGTCCCATTCAGTTCAGTTTGATCAATTCGCTTCTTTGTCTCCATTCCATTTCTATTGCAGTCTTGAGGCTCATGATATAGATACTGGCTTTGGACTTAATGGGATATATTTGCTTATGCAACTCAGTTTTAGCATCGGATTTCTTTATAATGGTTCGACTTTTACTTCACCATAACTAACCTGATAACTAAGCTTTCGCTCAAATCTTGAATCATTCTTGTATTTTGAATGATTCCAAATCAATTCCAAAACAGTTATTAAAATATCATTAAACATTAGTTTTATTTTTTCTTGATTTACAATAGTTTAATATTCTTACAACGGTTTTGCAATTATAATCATGATTGGAAATAAATATTTCACAATATGTACTTTTTATGTGTGTTTTTTTCTCTACTATCCCACAAGCACAAATTTAAAAACAAAAATCAAATTATAATATATATGTACGAATCAAAAATATTATTTGCATGTTCATATAACCAATCATTATTTTGTTAATATTTTATTATTTTTATATAATACCATTTTTTACCATTATATTTTTATTTTATATAAGCACTCACAATCTCAAATATTTCTCCCTCTAAATAATTTTACTACCTCTTTCATTTGTACTAGTACGCAACTCGTGTCATGCGCGGGCTATATTTTATTGCATGTGCTTTATAAATTGAGGGTCATTTGACAATAAAAGAGTTATTATTTATAAGGTAATGGTCAACCTATAAGCTGACCGACATGAAAAAATCATATATTATTGAAAATTTTATTATACAAAACGTTATTTTTGGGCAACTCGTTGTCCCCACAAATTTATATTTTTAAATAGTTTCGTATAACTCATCTAAACTCTAGTCCGACACAACTACATTACTAACCAGTGTACTAGAAATCAGTCTAGGCAGTCGCCTAGGTGTCGGTCAAACGCCTCCGCTTTGTATGAATCACCTATAAAAAATTGTCCAGGCAGTTCGGCGCCGCCTAGGCAAGCATGTCGGCTAGGCGTTTCTCGACGGCAGCGGGCGATTCTCGATAGTTTTATAATTTTTGAGTATTATTAATTGAAAAAAAACAACGTCGCAGTGTATCTAAAACAAAACAACGTTGTTTTGTGTAAGTTTATACAAAAAAAAAAGGTATGAGAGTACAAATTACAAAATGAGCACAAGTGCACAACATAAATACAGAATAAACCGTCAACCCTCAACCTTACCTCCTCGACCTTCGCCACTCTCCATTCTCCCAACGACCAGACCTCGACGATGGACCGCCCATATCCATCGACACTTGACCCTCATCAGGTTCTAGTCACTACTCACTCAGGTATTTTATATTAGTCAAAGTTATTACTTATTAACATTATAATTGGTTGTACGTTATGTAATTAAGTTTTCTTAATTTTAGGATTTAATGAAATTTATTGGAATCTCGGTATGTGAAATTGCATAAATTTGGTGTTGGTATGTTGCTATAATGCCATTATGGTGTGTAGTGGTTAATACATTAAAATGTAGATAATGTGTTTGATGAAATTCCAAAGAGAAGAACTTAGTAGAAATGTAAAATTCGAAAAATGGAAAAAACACAGTAGTATAAATTTATGTTCATTGTGTTATTGCAGCAACCTTGCTTAAGTATTATTCTGTTATTTTGTTGTTAGGTTTTTTTAATGGCATGCGCTAGTAGTTCGACATTAAAAAGTAGTCTGTATGATTCTCGAATATCCACTGAGATTAAGATTGATTTGAAACTTAAAATAAAGTCGGATGATATAGGTTGGAACTATGGTGTTCTAGTCGATATATATAACAAAGATAGGGTCAAATGTTTGTTATGTGGGTAAGAGTTATGTCGGACATGGATTGAAAAAGCACATTAGTCAAATTCGTGGAGTGTTGTTACATGTAAAAAAACAACAAATGAGGATGAAGCCAAATGTAGAAATGTCATCAGTGAATTCAAAGTTAGGAGGGTGGAGAGAAAAGAACTTCGAGAAAAGTTACTACCTTATGTTAATATTAAATTTTTGAATATTGACTACTCTCAACAATGCGAAAAAAGTGAAAGAATTTCACTCTCGGTCTAATGGATGGATTTGCTGCAACAATCAACCAGTAAGCAATTGAAAGTGGCAAAATTAAAATATTTTAAAAGAATAATATCAAATGACACCCTCAAGAATAAATGAAATGAGATTGAGCCACCACTTTTGGTATTGGGCCATAACCAAAACCGAAAACCCCAACAAAGCCCTCCGCACACCATATTTCTTAACTCTTCCGATCTACAGTACACACTTCAGCTACCGCCATGGCCTCCTTCGCCGCTCGATCGGTTATGCGCTCCGCCTCTACATCCGCTCGAGGCGCCGCCGCCAGGATATCGGCCGGTGCCAAGCCCAGGGCTTCTCCTACCCCTTTTCGCCTCCCCACTCAGCAGCCCCTTTCCGCTCGCATTTTCAGGTGACTTTTTTCTCGATTGAAACTTGCATTTACTCCCCATTGGTGCTTTACTGTATTTCGATTTTGATGAATTTTGTGCTTGATGTGCGAGCTTGGACTTAGGTCACCTGTGGAGATGAGCAGCGTTAACGTGGCGTCTTTGCTGCCGTACCACACAGCAACTGCTTCTGCGGTTCTCACTTCCATGCTCTCTGTTGCTCCACGCGGCTATGGTTGGACTCTTGAAGGTAGTTGTGTTATTTCCTCGGATACACACAGTTGGGTTTTAGTAACAGTTGTGTTGAGAATTTCTTTTCTATTTATTGTTTTTTGCTTGTTTTGTTAATTGATAAAATATTAAGTTTCCTGAACGATGAATGTATGTTGGTTGATCTATGTGTTTCTTTTTCTTTTTGGTATTTTCATGTTAGCAATTCAAGATACATGCATACTTGTGCCTTAAATGCTCACACATTTCTCAAATTACAGGCACATAACTTGTATATGAGAAATTATCCTAGTGATAGATCCTGTTCAAGAAGATACCAATGTTAGTTCTTTGACATGACCTTCACGCAAACGTCCTTTTATTTTTAATATGCATTTTTAGTTTGAGGTACAGCTCTAAGCTCTCAAAATAAAAGTGGTGTATTCTTTTTCATCTTGTAGGGCACAAAAAGACTAGATGAAGGTCGTGAAATGGAGATGAAGTGAATAATTGTTTACTGTTCCCCTAGCCCAGTTAATTAGTCCTCCAAAAAAAAAAAAAAATTGGATTTCCATTGATTAGAGACCAGAATATTAAACTATATTTTTGTGTTTTAATAAGATTTGTGGCCAGATTTTGCGGAAATAGCTTTTAGTGAATCAGTTGTTCATAATGCTTTGGTGGTGTTTTATTTGCTAATAACTGTAGATACAACTCGTTATTGTTGAAGCAACAGTAAGGATGAATATGTAGTGGTTTTGCCTGGAATCCAATATGCTTCTATTGAAGCACTAATTTGGTACTTAGAAGTGAACCCTGAAAGTTTTGATAAACATTGAGTGGTTGGTTTTCTATCCTTGCCTTGTAGATTGTTAATCCTGAAAGTGAACCCTGAAAGCTTAAGGAAGATGATTTTGAATCCAAGGAGAATGAACAAGTTAATGAGAATGATATTGACTTTGAGTCGGATGAAGAGCATGCATTTGAGAATTATGGAAAAGTACAAAAAGACCATCTTGTGCTTGGCAACATTTCTCAGTTCTTATTTCTTAGTTCTTAGTAGTGTTTTGGTCATGTGAGTTGTTTTGAGACTTGGATTTGCTTTGAGTTTGTTTTGGACTTGAGTTTGTTTTGAGATTGTAGTTATCTACTTAGTAGTGGTTACGTACTTATTTGGACTTGGAGTTTTTTTGAGATTGTGGTTATTACAATATTACTTGTAGTCAAGTGGGACTGTAATTGCTATTTCATGTTTTTAGTAATTATATCAACACTATTATTTGGACTTAGATGTGTAGATTTATAATAAATTGAGACAATTTTATTTTTTTATGTAGTGAAACTAAATAAAAAATAAAATATTTAATCTTAATTTATAGGTCATACCTAGGTGTTAGCATTAGGCCATCTCCAGCCCTTATCTGTTATCTCTACTCTAGCGGACTTTACTCTACTCTAGAGTTGAACATTCATCTTCAGCTCTTATCTCTACATTTTACTCTACATCAATTATATTGTTTTTTATTCATTTTTTATTTCAAATAAATTGGTATATATGTATATTTAATCTTATAGAAAATGTTAATTACTCAAATAATTTTAATGAAATCTACTCGTTTGAATGTGTTAAAATTTTATTCATATGGTACTATTTTAATATTAGAAAAATTATTAATACATCAATAAATAAAAAAACATAAAATTATTTAGCATAAAAATACATTTCACGAATTTTTTTTTCCCTGAATAGAAGGATCTATATATCTCAAGAAAATAACATTGTTCATACACTAAGGAACCCCCAAATGGAAACCGAAACATAAAACTGAGAGACACACTTACAAAGCGGCCTAGAACCTCAAAATCAAACAACTAGACAATCACCACAAAGACAAAACAAAATAGGGGTCAAGCCACTGCCAAATTGCCTAGCATCAACCCTCATTTCAACACACAAATCCAAAAAACCAACATCAAACAAGCCAAAACAAGCCAAGGAAAATCAGCAAAAAGCAAACACCAAACACCAAACAAACCAAAAGAAAAAACACAACTAATCACCAAACCACTCAAATAGAAAAACACAAACTGACTAGACAATAGAAGAGAACTCCAGCCATTCATTGTGGGCCACCCTGCAGACAATGTGAGCTGGCATATAGGTATTTTGTAATAGCCAAAGGTTCCTGGATCTCCAGAGCCACCAGAGCATATAAGTTGTCAATTGAATCTGAGCCTCTGAGATGTATGAGTTGTCCAGGGAACTGACCTGCTGCCACCAATGTCTAAAAGAGTCTGCACCATAAGAGATTTCATCCCACAAAGTTATTTAGCATAAAAATATATTTATTAATACACATTATACAAAAAATTATCATTAAAATTATATACAAAAAATTTGGCGCTGCACTACAATTGGTACAATACAGTTCCCATATTTGATGTAGCGCAAGATTTCAGCGCAGGGTTGGAGCAAATATTTAACACAACTCCAACGTTTTGCGCTAAAATATTGCAGCGCTGGAGGTGGTCTTAGTCATGATTGGGCGCCTACAACTTCTAAAACACTGTTAATAACACCCATGAGAACAATTACAAAAGCGAGAAGCTGGCATACATATTTCCTCTAATCATCATATTTTCCTTAGAAACGGTACATATCAGTTGGTTGGAGAATATGGTAGTAGTTAATTTGAGATTCATTAAAGAATCAAATAAAATGTAGGAAGTAGAATATTTAAATCTAGTATGGTAAATGCTATGAATTGCGTTGAGCTACAACTGATACAGGCTGAACTTAAAAAATAAAAATATTTTAAAAAAATAATATCAAGTGACACCCTCAAGAATAAATGAAATGAGATTGAGCCACTACTATTGCTATTGGGCCATAACCAAACGGGTAGTTTATATATATAAAATACAAAAAAATCAACTAGACAAAAATAAAAATGAAAAAAAAAATTCTAGACAAAAATAAAAACCCCGTATTCTCATAATACGTTTTTCTAATTAAATATTTTAAATAAAACATATTCTCGTAATATGATTTATAATTATATTTATAAAATATAAAAAAATTGTATTTTTCGAAAAAAAGTCAAAGTTAAATAAAAATTAATTATTATAAAACGTATTTTGAGAATGCTTTTTTTTTTTAAAAAAAAAAATCCTAAATCAAGTTTAAAACGTATTGTCGAAATACGTTGCTATAATTTAATTTTGTTTTAAAAAAAAAAACCTATTTGACGTGCGTTTTAATAAAAAAAAATATCTAAAAATAAATTTTTAATATTGTTTAAATTTTTTAAACAGAATNTGACCTCCCACCAAATTGAAAAAAAGATTACCAAGTTATCCACTAAACCAAACATATTTTATTGGAAGAATATCAACCGGTAATAATCATAACGACATTATACACTTCAAATATGCGTTTTCCAGTTTTGCCAATTGGTACATGAAATTGAAGTAGAGAGCATTGTTGTGATAAAAAAAAAAAAAATCTTAAAAAGAATCTCCATTTGGAAGATATAGAGATTTAAAAATGTGAAAAATGTCTAGATTTTACTCAAAATCAAATTAACATTAGAAAAGGACGTCTTTTTCAATTTTTTGTCGGCCAAACTGCGTTCGGTTGTTTGCAGCCGCGTACATCTCGTCGAGCTACCCCAAATTCATATAAAATGCGTCCAAAACGGACATTTTTACGCAAAGTTATGGCCTTCCAAAGTTTTGCTAAAAAAAAAACTCATTTTCGTGGAGGGCAACCAGGAGCCTCTTTTGAATCGGCCTCCATTGTGTTGGATTAGACATTTGAATAATTTGCTACTGTAACAACGTCTTGAAATGTGTTAGGTTTTTGCCTTGCAGAGCTTTGGTACACGCCACATTTAACAAAACTTTGGATTTGTTTAAACAGTAACAAAAGAAGTCCACAACGTCTTGAAAGGTGTTAGGTTCCTGCCTTTTTGGAATTGGAGAAGACAGCCGCGGCTCATATTGTGCGATGTATGAACGCCAACAGATTCAGCTACAGGGTGATAACCGGTCTACGGACTAGTGGAAGAGGGAAAACAAGTATATATTTTTACTGATGGATACCTGGCTAGCTCAATTTACTGATTGGAGTTTTGCTTCCATGGTGTAGCCTGCACTCGGTAGCATGCAAGACGCTATCACATGCAAATAGATGGGCACGCTACAGAAATGATAGAGGACAGTGTATTAGATTTGTAATCCAGATCATATTGTGGATGAGTGTCCGTCATCACATCCTCGCACCTATAGATCTAAACTTCGTGATGTGTGGGGAAACTAGATTTGTTAATGTTTATTTTGATTTGTTTAGATGGTTTATTTGGATTTGTTTGGATTGTTTATTTGCATTTGTTTGGATGATTTATTTAAAATCCTGGTTGTGGTATTTAGGGTAGATTGGTTGATTTGTTAGTGTATTTTTGGTTTAGTTGGTTGCTTTGAATATTTAAAACATATTTTTTTGGTTAAACAATTGAAAAAACTTGTTTTTTTTTTCAAAAAAATAATAATGAAAACGTATTCTGGTTATACGTTTTGCAAATAATTAATGCATAAAACGTATTTTGTTATATGTTTTACAAATAATTAATGAAGAAAACATATTTTGGTTATACGTATTTGGGTGTAGGGTTTAGGGTTAAAAACGTATTATGAGAATAAGGTTGCACAATACATTTTGTTGTTTTCTGATTTTAAAAATACGTTTAAAAAAAAACTATTTTATGCAATAATAAATTATAAAATAAAGTTTTTAAATTTATTTTATGCAATAAATAAATTATAAATTTAATTTTATTTATAACACGTATTTTAGAAATACGTTTTATTATTTAAAATATATTTCTAAAATACGTTTTAAGTTTATTAAATTAAGTTAATTAGTAATTAATATTATTGATTGTAAAACGTATTCTGTAAACCGTAATTAATAAGTTTATTTATTAATTTTTTTTATCCACTTAATTTTTTTTTTAAACTCGTTAAAAAATCCATAACCAAAACCTAAAACCCCAACAAAGCCCTGCGCACACCATATCTCCAACTCTTCCGATCTACAGTAGCAACCGCCATGGCCTCCTTCGCCGCCCGATCGGTTATGCGCTCCGCCTCTACATCCGTCCGAGCCGCCGCCACTAGAATATCTGCCGGTGCCAAGCCCAGGGCTTCTCCTTCTCCCTTTCGCTTCCCCACTCAGCAGCCCCTTTCCGCTCGCATTTTCAGGTACCTTTTTTCTCGATTGAAAATGGCATTTACTCTCCATTGGTGCTTGTCTGTGTTTCGATTGTGATAATTTTGTGCTCGATGTGCGAGCTTGGACTTAGGTCACCTGTGGAGATGAGCAGCGTTAACGTGGCGTCTTTGCTGCCGTACCACACAGCAACCGCTTCTGCGGTTCTCACTTCCATGCTCTCTGTTGCTCCACGCGGCTACGGTTGGACTCTTGAAGGTAGTTGTTTTATTTCCTTGGATACACACAGTTGGGTATTAGTGACAGTTGTGTTGAGATTTTGTTTGCTATTTATTGTTTTTTTGCTTGTTTTGTTAATTGATCAAATATTAATTTTCCTGAACTATGAATGTATGTTGGTTGATCTATGTGTTTCTTTTTCTTTTTGGTATTTTCATGTTAGCAATTCAAGATACATGCATACTTGTGCCTTAAATGCTCACACATGTCTCAAATTACAGGCACATAACTTGTATATGAGAAATTATCCTAGTGATAGATCCTGTTCAAGAAGATACCAATGTTAGTTCTTTGACATGACCTTCACACAAATGTCCTTTTTTATAATATGCATTTTAGTTTAAGGTACAGCTCTAAGCTCTCAAAATAAAAGTGGTGTATTCTTTTTCATCTTGTAGGGCACAAAAAGACTAGATGAAGGTCGTGAAATGGAGGTGAAGTGAATAATTGTTTACTGTTCCCTTAGCCCAGTTAATTAGTCCTCCAAAGAGAGAAAATAGAATTTCCATTGATTAGAAACCAGAATATTAAACTATATTTTTGTGTTTTAATAAGATTTGTGGCCAGATTTCGTGGAAATAGCTTTTAGTTGGTCATAATGCTTTGTGGTGTTTTATTTGCCAATACCTGTAGATACAACTTCTTGTTGTTGAAGCAAGAGTGAGGATGAATATGTAGTGGTTGTCTTTGGAATCCATTATGCTTCTATTGAAGCACTTATTTGGTACTTACAACTGAACCGTGAAAGTTTTAGTGAACATTGAGTGGTGGTTTTCTATCCTTGCCTTGTAGATTGTTAATTACCTTAGAGAATTCTTAGCTTGTTGGTGCTAGAATTATTGTTAAACATGGATTTATTATTGAAAGAGAGATGTTCCTTGTGGTTCAGTCTCTTTCATATGGACTGGGAACTAGTATGGTACTACTCTGCTATTATTAGGCTTACTAGAATATATTTGCTTTCAAGAATCAATTTTGGCATTGAATAATTGGATTTTTAATACTTCAAAATCTACAACACTAAATTGATGGTTGAAACTTAAATCCCTCCCCCAAAAAAAAGAACAAAAAAGAGAGATATCAATCTCTTATATCAAAAAGGTTGCTTATTCAAGAAACATGGGCATCTTTTGTTTTGATTTTAATTATAGATACTCAAGTATCCAAAATGATTATATCTGAGTCTAAATCTGTTAGGAGATTTTTTTTATTGCTGACTTGGTGTAATATGCATTCATCAGATTGCAACGATGGTGTATGATGCCTGTTGGATCGTTCGTGCGAAGATTTATTTACATGTGCTCTAGGGGACTGATAAATTGTCATGAATAAGCTCGATGCAAGAATTTCCAATTTCCTTTTAGTTTCCATTTTGTTTTTAATTTTACTATCAAATGCTACGATGTTCACTGAGAAGGATTAATAGAATTTTGTAAGTTGTTAAAGGTTTCATGGCAGCTTATGCTTGTATTAATTGGGCAGTGTCCTCTCTGTTTGTCTTTGCTAGCACACAATATGTTCATATTTGATGGGAGTTTGGCTGTGCCGACCGAACTGGGAGTTTGACATGGAATTTTTCATTCTCTTTCTAGGGTTATGATAACTGGCTCACTGGCTGACTTTGGGCTTGAAGATATCCCAAATCCCCCTCTTTTGTTTATGATGAAGTTGTATTTCACAAAAGGCAGACATAAATAGGCACTTTTGAACAATGATTATCTCTTTGCTTTTTTTTGCTGCTTGTGCAAGAATAGTTGATCATTTCTTATGTTGTTATAACACCATTACCAGTAGTAATTTTCCTTTTTCCTGTATTTTAGATGGATGATTGTTAGAATGTGCTCATGTGTTTCGTGGAAGTTGGTGCTCCTGAAACAACGATTGCCATTCGCCCGAGACAATTTCCGCTTTATAGTGCACGGAGCTCTTCTTTGGTGTTTATAACCATTTAAGTAGGTTTGCTTGACCAAGAGCTTAAAACATACCATCGAGAATTTGGCATCATGATGTAATGTTAGCATTACCAGACCTAGCTATAACTTGGGCTGATTTTTTGTCTCCAATATCCATTTTAAGTGGTGTCATTAATTCTTGAAGCATGCATTGTTTGGAGTGGATTGTTTTCAAGCTATGTACATAAGTTGTTAGAATCAGGCAATTTATGATAATAATGAATAACAACAATATACATCACATTGTGGGGCCCGGGGAGGATGTTCGAAGCCAAGTACTCCTCGAATGGTTATGCCTTTATGACGATATGTTCACACGTGGTCTATGGTTTCCTAGCATCCAACCTTAGTTGAGATCTTAAACCTTTACAATCTTTGTCGCACTCAAGTCACACCCAATGCTCGGATGATTCTTGTGAGGTTTGTTATCTTAGGAGCATAGTACCTATTTATGCTAACGACAGTCTTTACTTCTCTTTGTTGATTCCAACATCACCTTGGATCCGTAGGTCTTTTGTATAACCTATCAAGGTCAGTCATTAAGCCAGCCTTCAATGGAAACTTCCAACGATACTAATGTTTAGAAGTTCAAGCTCTTTTACGTCTACTAAGGTGACCCTTGGAATTTTCCTTCTGATTGGAGCATGTTCACCAACCACTTATTCTAAGTTTTACGATAGTGAATAAGCCGCTAAATTGTACAAAAAGAACTCTGATTTGCAACCTTGTTGTGGTTTGGGGTGCAATTCCCCCTCAAAAACTGCCCTTCTAGTGACCTCGAACAGACCTCCGGAGTATCATGCAATACATTCCCGGCGGTAGTCCTCAAACGATCTAGTCAATTCTCAGATTATAAAAGGTGATATATATATGAGTATTGAAAAAATAGAGAAAGGAATCCTTTACCGTTCCATACCTGAGACTTATATATAGTAGAACTTTGTCTTGTTGCCCTCGAACTTGCTGCTCGGGTGCCCTTGCCGCCCAAGACTTGCTCGACGGTTATCCTTGTTGTTCGAGGTCTGCCGGAGACCCAACTTTATCTCCAAGGTGATCTAGAGTGTTCCTAGATAACCCTTCACGTCATCTGTAAATCGTGCCATACTTATCTATTTATGCTGCCGCATACACTGCCTATATATAAGATGCCCATAAATCCATATGTCCACAGGTCGATCAAAGGTAAACTATAGGTCAATGGCACTTAGACTGTCCACAGGTAGGCTTTAAATGAGCCAGGCTCAAATAAACAAGCTAAAAATTGAGCTCGAGTTCGGCTCGTTAGGCCTCGAGCTCGAGCCGAACTATAAAAAAATTATATAAAAAATTTCTTTTCGAGCCTTATCGAGCTCGGCTCGTTAACCAAACGAGCTTTAAATGAGTTCAAGCTCAGCTCGTTAAGGCCTCGAACTCGAGTCAAACCCGAGCTGATTCAGGCTCATTTAATTTAACAGCACTACCCACATGTCACTCCCATTTACTGATTATAGGCTATGTTCTAAAAATCGGCCTAAGTGGCCGCCTAGTGCCTAGGCGCCCGGGCGCCTCCGAGTTGCACAAATCGGCAGAAAAAAGCGGTCGGGCGTCTAGGCAGCGCCTAGGTCCTAGGCGCTCCCAGTTGGACTTGGCGGGCTCAACGGCCAGGCGGTTAGGCGGCTCCTAGACGGACCTAGGCGGGCTCGGCGATAATTTTTCAGTTTTTTTTTAAATACTAATTGTATTATTTTGTTCTCATGTTTTCTTTAATATATATTAATATTATTATTTGAATTTAGGTTTGTGAATTTGTTATAAGTTGAGATAGTTTATTTTGTAGGCAGTTAATATAAATAAAAAATAAAGTATTTAATATTGATTTCTAGGCTCCGACTAGGCGCCGGCCTAGACGCTCTAGGCGCTAGGCACTGATCGAGCGCGTAACGGGCGCCTAACAACTTTTAGAATACTGATTATAGGTCGTTAGCATGCAAACCGCCCACAGGTCACTCGCATGTACCAACTATAGGAAGATAATGCCCCTTAACTGCTTGAATGTTTTCCGGGCTCCATGAGCTATCTTTTTAGCCTAACACTGGTGTCAAGAGGTTGTAAGAACCTCCTTGGACTATCGATAGGTCGTTACCACCTCTATAAACCACCAAAAGGTCGCTAACCCGATTCTTTGAGCTGGACCTTCGTAATCCGTTTTACCGAGCTATTCTATATGCTATATCATGGTCCATGTTCAATCAGGCCTACAAGTCAATCTTACAATTACTCTCATAGCCGGAAATCGTACATGTCTGATACATCAATAACTGAAATAACTATATATTCTCTCCGTCCTATTGTACATAGATCAACTAATCACGCACCTAAACAAACAAGAAAATTCGGAAATATATTTCTTTTGTAGGTAAAAAATTTTCCTTGCACACGTGAATTTCTTCGTGTGCTCATATTCAGAAGAATAGCTAGCACAATTAAAAAAATAAAAAATAAAAATGTACAACATTATGTACAACAAAATACACTTGCAAACCCAAACCTCCCCCTCATTCCCCAACCACATCATATCAACAAAGACTCATCCGAAACAATAGTCAACAACGAGTACTTCACCTTCACCCGTATCATCCCACCCTCCACGCACAGCTTCGCCCCCGTCACCACCCAATACCCCGGCGCATCCTCCGGCCCCCTCACCATCTCCGTCGTGTCCACAAAGCTCGACATTCTCGGAGCCCTTGACGGCGAAGGCGGGCCCCCCGGATAGACTGCCGAGTTCAAATCAACCTTCGGCGGCGGCCTATCCGCCACCGCCAGCTGGCCGTTCAGCGCCGCGCTGAACGGCGAGCTCATCAGCATCGAGATCAAACCCGACTTCTTGGACGACGAACCACCCGTGGGCCCGTCCCATTCGGACCGCCGGATTACGGCGGACCCCACCATGGAGAATCCGAGCCTTAGGAAGAGTACTTTCTTCATGCCGACGATCTTGACCTCGAACCACGCGCCGGTCACGATGGAGGCCGGGTCGTCGAGATGGGTGGCGTGGTGCTCGACTGGGGCGGTGCAGATGTGGGAGAATATGCTCCATTTGACGGGCTCAAAATAGGCTCGGTCGATGGAGTCGTCGGCTGGGGAGTGGGTGTGGTCGGGGGAGAGGTGGAGAGAGTCGGGGAGGTTGGAGAGGTGCTGGAGATGGATGGCTAAGTGGTCGCTTTTTTTGCCTTCGAGGTATAGGCGGACTCCGGTCACGGGACGGTTGCCGGTGACGACCTGATGAAGAAGTATTATTTGAAATCGAAGTTTGAAGGAAATTCGAT